GAATAACTGTATAGGTCTACAACTAAATTACACAAGATTAATGTTTATAAAATGCTTAATATGTCATTATAAAATGCATACATACATAAAGTATGACGTATCGTGTGTAATAAAAGCAAATTACCCCTTAAAAACCGTAAGGTGGCGGTACTCTGTTAAAAAAAAGTAAGCTCCGCCCCTCACTTCCGGTTCTGTGGCTGCGGTTCTGTGGCTGTGGTTCTGAAACTGCTGGTGCTGCGGGTCTGCAGCTGGATACTATTGAACACCGTGAGAGCGTCACTACCAGGAGCAGAAAGTGTCCAACTTGATGTCTCCACTTTTAATTCGCTTACTGCAAGCGGTTACTCTCGCCAGCCGGTGGCCAGTGGTGTAATGTAACAAAGTAATAATACTTCGTTATAGTATTTAAGCATATTTTGGGAGTATCTGTACTTTACTTGAGTTTTTATATTTCAGCCAACTTTTACTCCACTACATTTACATTTCTACAGATACAAGCATACTCGTTACTTACTACAAAATAGTCAGAAGAACACGGACTGCAGGAAAGCAGGTTTGACGAATCAGTGGTCTGGCGCTTACAAGTTCGACTCCTAAAAACACCTTTGCTCATGTGCAAACAAGTGCGCGCACAACCGTGGATGATTCATTTTCCAATGTCGAGTCTGGGGTGTGCGATATACAGTATAAGTAAGTGACGTGACGTGGCCAAGTATGGTGACCCATACTTGGAATTAGTGCTCTGCATTTTAACCCATCCAAAGTGCACACACACAGCAGTGAACACACACACCATGAACACACACCCGGAGCAGTGGGCAGCCATTTTTGCTGCGGCGCCCGGGGAGCAGTTGGGGGTTCGGTGCCTTGCTCAAGAGCACCTCAGTCATGGTATTGAAGGTGGGACTGTACGCTGTACATTCACTCCCCCCACCTACAATCCCTGCTGGTACGAGACTCGAACCCGCAACCTTTGGGTTACAAGTCCAACTCTCTAACCATTAGGCCACGACTTCCCCAGAACTTGTATGTCTTCTAAGTGTTGTTGTAATGATGTGCGATATTATCAAGTAGGCTATATCACCAAATCACACACAGAGTGCATGCATTCATTTATTATTCTATTAGTTAAATTAATCTATATCACACAAAGAGTACAGTTTTTCTGCAGATATCAGCATGAATATCAGCATGAACATGTTCATGTTCAGTAAAGCAATAAGTGAATTACATTTTAGACATAATATTGCTTGTTTTTGCTCAATTCTGCCAACGAAAATAGTTCCAAACAAAGATCACAGCACTGTTTTGCATCTCTGAGCAAAGGATGTTGTTTACTTATTGAATGAATCAGCTTTTTGAATGAATCGGTTGAATAAATGATTCAGCGATTCGCTCATTAACACTGTCAAATGCTTTGTTCCTGAATGAATCAGCCATTTGAACGAATCGGTTGAATCTCAATGACTCACTTATTAACAGTCACTTGCTGTCACCTACTGGCGGTTTTAATTTCACATTTCGACTATTTTTTTATATTTTTAAAATCATTTCAAATAACAGTATTCAGCGTTTTATGTTAAAAACAAAACATTATTTATTCATCTGTAACTGCAGGTTAAATGCATCCATGTCCCCTCTGAGATAGGCCTACATTAAACTGTGTAAATACATCTAAATGCTATTTCAGATGCAGATTCCAGAAACGTTGTCTTATGTTGGAATGAAAGACACTAAGTACCGGATGAAGTGCTTCTTATTCTTACCTAAAAATGCAAAATGGAAGAAAGAGTTAAAAACGGAACACAATTTTGCTCAAGCTGTGTATGAACGTTTTATATATATTATTTATTTGCTTCTTTTCCATTTTGCATTTACTTGTACTTTTACTTTCAATACTTAAGTACGTTTAAGATTAAAAAAATACTTTTCATACTTAGGTACAATAAATATCACATACTTTAAGACTTTTACTCAAGTAATATTCTAAACGGTGACTTCAACTTCTACCAAAGTCATTTTCTAGTAGGATATCTGTACTTTCTGTACTTGAGTATGGCTTTCAGGTACTTGATACACCACTGCCGGTGGCATAGTTCATCTCGAACAAGCCTATTAACACAAGCATATGGCCAGCAAAACAAATCACCAGGGGCCTGTACCATGATGGTGGCTGAACAAACTCAGGGTTACAGGATTAGTTTCGAGTTGACAAAACCAAACCACACCAATCTGGCTTTGCTGGTACCATGATGCTGATCATCAACTTTCTTTGTCAGCTCAGGCTTTGATCCTGAGTTTGTGGAGCACGTGCACATGAATGTGTGACATCAGTGGCAAATAGCCAATCACATGCCTTGCAACACAGAGCAAGTGTGATTCACTTCTCGGAAGAGGTCCAACGAGATTCAAAACTCATTTGCTAAAGGTTAAGAGATATGAGGAACTTAAACGCATTTACACTGAAGAAAGTACTTGTCCATGAAAGATTTTTGTGCAATATCAATTTAAATGTTTAAAATTTTGATTCATGCTTATTTTTTTTAAATGCGTTGTTTTTGATTTACGCTTATTATTTTTTGATCCATGACCATTGTTTGCTATTCTGAAAACCTTGCTTTCGTTTTTATATTTTGTGCAATATATTTTTACTTGCGTTTTAAAATTTTGGTTTCACGCTTGTTATTTTTTTATTCGTGACTGCAGTACATTTGGCAGGAATTTGATCCCATAATTTCACCACCGTATGTCATTTCTAATTGGTGAAACAATGTTATAAATCATTGCATATTTCAACACTCCCCGCTCTCTCCAGTCCATTTCACATAAACATGCCTCTAAACAGTCTAAGTGGGAGGTTCTTGGCAGAACAGAAAAAGCTACAATGTGGGCCAGACCTTTAGCACCATGTTAATGCTTCAAGCTACCACAACGAGTACTCTGCACCACTTAATGCCTTTTTACCACATTTAAATCCACAGTCTAACTGATTTTCCTTCTCACTAAATTACACTCCTATTAACATTTAAGCTTCATATTGAGAATGAGATGAGTAGGTTCAGTCTGCACCGTAACATGTTACTATTCTCTGAAAGTAAAAGTCTAAAACATTGATCTGTTCGTGTAAAGAAGATTGTAGAGTTAAATGCTTTTCTCTGGTTTTTGTGATGACAAGACACGAGTAACTTTGATATTCAAATAGCTCATTTTCATTGCTGTTTCAGCAGGTTGTTGCTGATCACAACATCTTGTGCCCAAAAGTTCATCAAGAAGATATTTTGACATAGTGAACTATGGAGATTATGATGATTACTGGGAATAAAAAACTCATAAAATATCTAAATTATCATGAATTTTACTGTAGCAAAGGTCCAGACATTCACCAACACTGTTTCAGTAGCCATTATGGTTTGTTTGCCCTTGAAATGAAATAAGCAATGCGCATTGTTCAGGTAGTCAACATATATGAATTGCTTATGGCAGTACTTTGTAAAAGAAATACTAATAAATAAAACAATAAAATAAAGGAGTTTGAACTTATTTTCAAGCTTTTACATCTAAATGTAAAATTAAAAAAATCCCTTAAATGCAATAGGTATGCAAAAAATATTATATTGAAGTCATACCAAAATTCACATTTTGACATGTCTAGGCATCACTTGAAAATGGGAAAAAATGCACAGTATGATTTAAGCTCGAATTTTAATGAAATCTATTATGAGAATAAAACGATCATATACTTTACCTATTGCACACATTAGCTCAAACCCCTCTCTACATACAGTATACCCTGGAAGCTTTTTCAACTGCAGTTTACTTCTTTAATGTTTTATTTAATAAAATAGTTAATGTACAATACATGAGTACTATGCAGATGATGAAATTTGAATCATGCGCACTGTACGCATAGAGTACACATAAAAACCTAAGTGTACATTTGGCTTAAGAATGCAAATATTTTGTAGTTTAAGTTAGGATCATTTAGGTTAAGTTGTTTTAAAAAGTTGACTTTAAAGAGGTACATAGATTTCTGTTTATTACATTTACTATTTGAGCTCACTGTATGTTTGCTCTCCTGATGAAACAGGAGAGCAAACTAAAATGTTGATTTGTTTACCAAAAGAACATTGTTGCATTTAATGCTTTAGCCCACATGTAGGTATAACATAATAAAATGATATGCTGATTTTTTGATCACAAGGCGTGATTCACTTTGATATTCAAAGAACTTGTTTTCATTGAAGACATTTTTGCATGTTGTCACTGGGCAGAACATCTTGTCCTAAATGGCTCATCTTGATATTGAAGATATTTTGACACTGAATAATCTAACCTTCAGTAAATCTAAAATAATTTCATGCTCCATGCTAGTAATTCATAGGGCAGAATCAGAATAAACACTTTCCCCCATACATTCACTATTATTGCATAGTAGTTAGTCTAAATGTGAAAAGTGCTACTTCCGTAATGAAATCAAGGCCGGTCCTTTAGTCCTCCTGATTTTACCATGCAAATTTGATTTCCATCAAATACTTTTGGGTATAATCAAAATTCGCATACACATCATTGTATTATATCTAGCAATCATGAAAATGGGAATAATATGCAAATTCCCATCAAAATTAATTATTAGAACGTCATTATATATACAATACATATCAAATACAAATAATCACTAACTCAAAGGTCCTATTTAACCTCAAGCATATAGGCTACTTTTAATGATTTTAGACAAAAATACATTTAAGACAGCATTAAATGGTAAATTTAGTAAAAGTAAAGTTTAATATTATAAGAATGCAACTGTTTGTAGTTAAAGTTAAGTTAGATTCATTAATGTACAGTGATCTAGAACTTACATAATATGACCCTTCATGATTTTTAAATTATGACCAATACTACTACTATTTCCCATTTCCTCTAAACAATATAGTTCAAACTTAACTTTATATTCTTTAAGTCTAGTTTAAAGGTTTACTTTGAAAGATTTACACTGAAGATTACGGTCCTCTACATTTATTATTAGAATTGGCCGTACGGTTGATCTCTTCATGAAACACCTCTTCACCTTCCCCCTTTCTCCAGCTTATTTTGCTGTCATTTTGCAGCCCCATGCTCTTCAGTTTTTCACTTATCTGGAAGACCAACAAGAATTTTTTTTTTTTTTTTTTAAATAATGAAAAAAGAAAAATCATGTCATACTTACAGGCTACATATCAACATTAAGCTCAAATTACAACAACAGCAAAAATATTGATGATATGAGTAGTGCTGGTTAGCTGTAATGTAATGTATTTTAACACATTATTGTCTTGCTAAAACCGGTACATATTCTGCAAACTGTGTTGTTGCACCAGAATTTGGCAATGACACTACACACAGTGTTAAAGGCAGATACAAACCTTATTCAGAATGGCCGTCAGTAGTGAATGATCATTCACTGCGCATTTTCCATTACAGGACAATTTCAGCCTGACAATCTGTTTTCTAACCAACTTTTCATCTAGAGAAATACAGAGCTAAAGTCATCCTCAACATATAAGATACATTAATACATGAAAACATATCACAGTTATTTGTAATATTTCTTTCAAGAGTCATCTACAAACCTTTTATTTGAATCATTTGTTTCTGTGAACTGGGAAAACTCACCTCCATAGCAAAAAAAAGGCTGCTGTAGATCGCAGCTGTATTGAGCCCATTTTCCAGAATTATTTCTCAACATGCCAACACAGTCACCAGATCCTGATCTCTTGGATGGTTGACCTGCTGCCCAGTATCTGAAGAAGCGGCTCCATTTGTCAGACCATTCCCAAGAGTCCAGGAACAGACCAAACCAGAGGACCTCTGGATATACAATAATTCTTCTTAGCCGAGTCGTATCCTCTTTGTTGCGGATGATGGACAGATCTGTGTGATACATTCTGCAGTAGCTCTGAGCTTCAGTCCAATTCTTGAACAATGCTATCCTGATGTCTCCAGTGCTTTCTATCAAGAAGAGGAAAAATTACAATCAGATTTCAACTTTTTTGTAAGCTAAACAATATATTTATTCACATAAACTCTTAACTCACCATTGTAACACAAAAAGTAACAGGTATATGAGCAATCATAACTCATTCAATTTGTAATTCCAAACATAGCACATTCGTTTGGACTCTTTGGTTGATCGCTGAGCCAGTCACTGTACTGTGCGAGTGTATCATCTCCGTTAGACCAACCCCAGCGGTTCTGTGTCCCCCTCTTCAGTTCAATCCACACTGATCCATTGTATCCAGCATCCACTATATTTAACAGCCTGTTCACGTCACCCATGCTGTCTACAGTAGCCAGATCAGTGAATCTCTCTCTGCAGTAACTCTGAGCCTCTGGCCATGACATTCTTGCATTCATATAGTGGTACTGACGAGAAAGAGCAGAACTGCTCCAGAAGAGCACTGTTAACATTAAGATGTTAAAGGGGTTATATACATGACGAAGAGGATATCGTCCTCTTTTGGAAGGCCAAACAAAGTAGTTTCGCTTTCGCAACGAAACACACAGCGACTTTACGACATGGCGTGGAAACAGTTTTGAATGAAAATTCAAAACTGAAAGAGATGAATTGGGGAGAAAATGATCATTTATTGTTATGGTGTGAATAATATGTAATCATGTAATCAATAAAAAGTAACTGTAGTCTGATTATGAGTATTTTAAAATGTAATCTAATCTAATTACAAGTACTTAATTTTTGGAATCTGATTACATAATCCAGATTACATGTAATCAGTTACTACCCAGCACTGGCAAAACATACAATATACTGTATACACATCATAGTATTAGTTATCAATTTCAAATTTTTCATTTTGACATATCTAGCAATCACCAAAAATGGAAATGGAAACTGTAGGTCTTAGCCATAGAAACCATAATAATGATTTATATGGATAAGTTAGAATGAGCTTATGCAAGTTTACACATGTACTATTACTATTATTAGTTACCATTACTCCACTAGGTCTGAAATATATATTGTACATTTTAATCCCCTGGAACACACTACAAACATGATGATCTAGAACATGATGCATTGCTGTGTCTGTCGTAATTAAATAATTAAATAATTTTGGAGACAGTGGCTGTATGAGTGTTGTTTACAGTCTTCCTTTATCGGACATTAATATAAGACAATACTGCAGTTTACTGTCAAGCTGTTATATATTGTCCAACATTCCTAATTTTTCTAATGCATGTCATTAATTTAATTTCATATGTTGGTATTAATTCAGTGTTTATAATGCTAATACTTGAACTTAAAATAATGTCAACCGAAACTGACATGGTTTCTAGAAAGCAAAGGTTTTGTGAAAAAAGGGAAGACTTTAAAAAAAAAAAGACTTAAACACGAAGTCTATAAAATAAACTTAAAATAGTAGAGCTGTGAAACGATTAATTGCGATTAATTGCATCCAAAATAAAAGTTTTTGTTTACATAATATACTGTATGTGCATATTGTGTATATTTATTAGGCTATGTATATATAAATATGCACACATGCAGCATATATTTTGAAAATATTTACATGTATATATTTATATAATTTATATTATATATAAATATATTTAATATATAAACGTAACATATTTTTCTTAAATATATGCATGCATGTGTGTGCATTTATATATACATAATAAATATACACAGGACACACACACACATATATATTACGTAAACAAAAACTTTTATTTTGGATGCGATTAATTGCGATTAATCGTTTGACAGCACTAATATACAGTCTCCTCCATAAGTATTGGAACAATAAAGACAAAATTGCTCTGTTTGCTGTGGAGTCAAGACATTTGCAAATATGATTAAAAGATGAATATGGGACA